AGGAGGCGAAACGGAATCGACGCGGAGTGCTGCGCGACGTCCTCGGCGACCCACACCAGGCGCAGCGTCGTCGTGAAGAGAACCCCCCAGACGAGCCCGCGCTCCCCCGCGTGGGCGACGTGGGGGTGGCGGGAAACGACGCCCTCCCGGGGCAGCCGGACGAGCTCCCCCTCCTCCACCACCGCCGCGCGCAGGCGGACCTCGCGGAAAAGCCGGGAGCCGTCGTAGGCCCGCCACGCCGCGCGGGCGGCCACGAAAAGCGCCCCCGCCCCCGCCCCGTCCTCCGCGGCCCGCGCGACGTTGAAGATGAAGCTAAACCGCTGCGCGCGGTACCGGCTGAGGACCCACAGCGACTCCGTCATCCCGTCGAAAAACCTCGACTCCATCATCCGGAGATTCAGGTTGAGGATCGTCTTGAAGCCGATGCTGAGGTTGCGCGCGGCGTCGCTGCAGGTCCATAAAAGACGAAAATTGGTCACCATCAGCACCCCGGTGATCCCACGCCCGCCCTTCGCGTCGTCGACGTTGTGAAAAGTCTGAATCACCCGCTCCTGGTCGCTTTTGAGGTCCAAAATGCGCAACGTCTCGTGGAAGTAGATCCCGTTATCCTTCCAAAAGGTGGGGGTATGTTTGCAGTGGCACTCCGAACCATCGACATTGTAACACGAACCATTCCCCGACAAGAGCTTCTTAGCGCGCTTAAGCATCAAATTTACAATAAAGAGGGGTGAAATGGTATGGAAATCCGCAATGAGGAATATATATATCTATATATATATAAATCTCTATATAGATATGTTTCTACTTCCATACAAACCCTAAAATCCTCGGAAAGCTATCAACGATGGCAACGAACCCAGTAAAAAAAAAATATGGAAGAGAGGTGAACCGAGGAAAGACAAGCGTCGTTTCTGGTGAATAGGCAAGCGGAAAGTAGAGATTTTCATGGGTTTGGCAGCTGGCATCTAAGGTAAACCCGAAGCGCTCTAACTCGAAACAACAGGAAAAGCTCAACATTTTGCGTTTTAGTGCTCTCAATAGCATCATTAAGGAGACCCGATAAACTATTAAGGTAAGTGCAAGACGTGAGAACAACAAGATACCAACTTCAATGCGCTGGATAAACACCTTCAGAGCGACAAAGAAGGGGGGAAATGAATAGACTCCCTGAATACTCATGGTAAACGCTCATAGCGCCAAAAAGGTATCAAAAGCAATGGAACCAATAAACCATTAGAAAGAAAAAAAAGTAGCATACATACAAAGCCCAGGGTTCCAACCTTTTGTAGTGATTCACAGGCTCGTCATCCTGAGGTGATGAGTGTGAGAACGCTACAACGATACCGGTACCACTAATTCTAGGGTGGTTAACCAACGGAAAAAAAAATGGAACTGTAAAATAAAACGAGTTGTATGTCTGAAAACAACCCAGATACGAATATCCCCACCTTTTTTTTCGCTCTTATTATTTGTGTGTTTGTGTGTGATCCACGATCTGACTCCTTCGAATCTATTCTGTATGTAATTCAGAACTTTATTCTTTCCTCTTCTTCCTCAATGTGCATGGCTATTATTCCAACTCTCACTAAATTATGTGTAACCCTCTTGAATCAACACCACTACATGCTAAGACACTAAAAGGGATCCCTTCATTGGTTGCATTGATACAAAGGGAGATACTTTAAAAATCCCATCTCAATGGGAAAAACAAGCACATTTGAGCAAGAAATAAAAAGTTAATGTGTAGTGAAATATGATTAGCAGAGAAAGATACTAATCACCAAGGAGCCATGTGTAACACATGATCATATTAAAATACCATTAATCAAGAATTCATCAAGGGGCATTCGGAATGATTTATTCCTAATTATAGACTATAATTGAACTGAATGCAGCGTAAGAAAAACATGATAAAATAAAGAAAAGCAGAAAAGTTAAGCAAACCCTATTTGAACTGTGTTGTGTTAACCCTTGCTCTTCATTTTGTGCTGCTTTTTTCTAAAACATATATATAAATATATATATATATAGACATATAGATAGATATAGACTTGCTATTACCTAAATGGCATGGTTGCGCAAAAATCGACGTCTGCGCACATTCGCATTCTCACCATCACTACTACTCCTCCTCATTGCCGTTGATAGCGTCGAAAGCGGAGCCCGAGCGCGGATACCGCCTCACCGCGCTGCCAAATGCCGCCTGAATAGCCTTGATCTACTTTTAATCATGTGAGGGCGATGCAGTCAAAAAGATAAACTGAGATCCCCCTCCCTTCTCCTCGTGAAGCGGCATACACACAAACACACAAACGCACCTATTCGTCAGCGTGCGAAGAGGGAAGTTATTTCCCCCTCTACCTACATCCCGAGAAAAAATCACGGGAAAAAATGAAAACACTTATTCATCCAAGAAAATACTTTACAAAATTTCTACATAAAGCACTAAAAATTTGAATATAATAAAAAACAAGTACATGTACACACGTTGATATGATATTTTGGTATGCCTTTCTTTTCGTATCCAAGACGCTTTTGCATACTTTATCTTTTCCTATTTTTTTCTTTCAATATTCTTCCTGTTCTTTGTTTCCACATCCTTATTTCATCCTTCCGCATGCTCTACTCACCGCCTTAATCGTGATACGTCCGCATGTGGCCGCTGGTGTGTTGTTCGACACCGGAACTCACCTTTGGCTTGGGGAAATCTATCCAATCGCTAACGGGAGATAATAATAGAAAAAAAAAGAAAAAGAAACCCACATCGAAGGTGAAGCATTCCCCCTCCCTTGTTTCCCTCCCCCCTGAAGTCATCATCAGTTCTCCTTATCATGACGGATGCTTTGACGTCCGAGGGCTCATCGGGTGCGATGAGACGTAGACGTTTTCGTGTGAAAAGAGCCCCTGTAAGGCCTCCATATCAGGGATGTTCGGGCTCGAGCTCGACGAAGGTTGCAACACGATATCGAACACGCACATGATTGTGAGAAACGCGCCGAAGGTGATCTCCTCGCCCTCCGGCACCAGATTCCGCATAAAGTCGTAAATGGCCTCCTTCTGCGGTTGGGTGAGCTGCTTGCGCATCCCGCGGCCGAGCTGCGCCATCCCCTCCATGAACTTCTCCTTGCTCAGCACCTTATCTCGCGAGGTGACCTTGAAAAGCGAGCAGAGCTGGTTTCGCCCCTGAATCACGGTGTTCTGCAGCTGCTCCATCGCATCGACATCCCACCGCATCGGATCGAGCTTGCGGTTCGCGTTGAGCTGCATTTGCTTCAGGAAGGTCGACCCGCGCAGATGCCCCACCCCTTCAGTATCAAAAAACTGAAAAAGCTGGAAAAGCTGGCATTCGCTGATTGTGTAGTCGATCGCGCGGAGGACGGAGCAGTACTCGTTGTAGTTCACGACGTCCTTGTTGAAAGCCATCGTAACGAGGCGGCTGCGGTGGTTGCTTCGCTGCTGCTGCTGGAGTTGCGCGCACGTCGCCTGCGCCCAGCTGTTCACCCAGAGGAACTGTAGGAGGTTGCGGAAGTTCTTCAGGAAAGGCGAGTACCGCACGCGGGCGTCCTTGTCGAGGATTACCAAATAACCCCGAAGAAAGTACCACGGGAGGTCCAAATTCAGCACATTCCGCATCGTCTCCGCCCATTCGATGATCCACACGGAGCCTTTGTTCGTGCGATCGAGCTTCGAGAAGTACGCCATGAGGCGGTGGCGGCGCTGGTAGATCCGCTCGCGTAGCTCCCGCAGGATGTCGTACTTCGTTCCCCGCCGAAGCACCTGGCGGAAGACGCTGCAATTGTTCACCGCGAACGACACGAGGCGCGCGGCGAGTGGGGTGTTGATCGTGAAGCTATCCGTGATATTCACCGATTGCGCCTCCAAATCCTCCTCGTAGACCTGGTAGACGTGGAAATTCGGATCGATGGAGTCCCCGATAAAGGTGCAGATCGCGCCGTAGTTCGTATCCGGCCCGTCGTAGTTGCTCGCGGAGAAGACGGTGAAGAGCTTCCGATCGTGGAGCTCGCAATACCCGCTCAGGCATTCCTCGTGCGAGCGCACGACCAGCTCGAGGCGGTTCGTTTCGAGGAAGTTTTGAGTGACGTTGACGCCGAACTCGACGCCCGCGCCGCGTTGGCTTTCCCGCCAATCCTTAATATCCTCCACCGGGTCGGACCAGAGGAGGTCCTGGAAGATCTCATCCTCCTCCGGCTGCGAGTGGTTCGGCATCGGGACCTGGCGGAAGCGCTGGATGCGGGAAAGGTCGTCGATCGTCACCCCCATCCGCCGCGGCAGCCCGCCGTGGACGATGAAGATTTTATTCCCCACAATCGTCGCGAGCGGAAGCGCGCAGAAGCAGCGCTGGATGAGACGGAAGATGTTGCGATCGTACTTCGTGCTCACCTCGACGTCGAAGCCGTACTCGTCGTTCATGTAATCGCACTCGTGGTTGCCGCGGTTCAGGGTGACGTAGCGCGGGCACGCCAACATCAGCGAGAAGAGGATGATCAACACCTCGACGCCGTACGCCCCGCGATCCACGAAGTCGCCGTTAAACACGTAATAATTGTTCTCCCCGGGCATCCCACTCTCTTGGAGGATGTGGAGGAGGTCGGTGAGCTGACCGTGGATGTCGCCCACGACGACGACCTTGCAGCCTTGGCTAAACCGCCCATTCACATCACGCGCGCCGACGGAGGGCGACATCCGCACGACATTCGGCAGCGTGTTGAGGTGATTCATCGCGTTCGTGAAGATCCGCCACGCGGCGGGGTAGGGGAGGAGGATGTGGCGCTGCATATCCTGCATGATCCGCCGCACGTGATCGAGCGTGATCGGGGTGTTCGAGTTCACCGGGAAGTAATGCGCAAAGGACGCGGGGGCGACGACAGGAGCCTGGATGACGGAGCGCGATCGCCTCGGCGCGAGGACGTGGGAGTCGTTCACCTTATCGTGCGCCTTAAAAATAGCAAAGCCTTCCTTTTTGAAGTCCATCTCCTTGTAAACGGATCGAAAGATCGTCTCCTCGACGAGGTACTTGCACTTGATCCATCGCCAAAGGAGCTGAATGCGGGCGATGTTCAACTCCTGGTGCTCCGCGGAGCCAAGTTTGCTCTTCTTCCCGGCGGCATACCGCTCACAGAGCGAGGCCGTCGCGAAGGGGCCGTTTTTCAACTCCAGGCTATCCGCATACATCTTCGGGCACCACTTATGAATCCGAATGATGCAGACCTCCCCACACCCCGGGCAGGGCTTGGGGTTGCACCCATCCCGATGATTCTGCATCTCCGTCACCAACACATCGAGGCCGCACTTCGGGCAGATCGCCTTTTGCCACCGCCCACACTCCTCGAGGTGGGCGACGAGATCCCGCTGCTTGACGATCTTCTGGCACCACGAATTCCAACACGTCACCTCCCGCTCATCGCACATCACCGTGTGCGCGTTGTAGTCTTTATCGAGGATTTGTTGATGGCAGAAGTGGCAACGCGGCCAACGACGACGATCCTCCCCGAGGCGTTGTGAATCCCAGCGGAGGCCGGCAAGCGAGACTCGCTCGCTCTCCCTCAGGGTGTCGTCATCGCGGTCGCGACCGCCCCGTCGCGAACGGCCCGTAGGCAGCTTCCCATTGTGCCCCATGCTCCCATTCTTGAGGGTCCCATCGAGCTTCTTGGAAGAACTGCAGCCCATCGAAGAAGGGGGAGGGGGGGCGAGAGGTCGTCCGGTGTGAAAAAAAAAAGAAAAGGAGAACTAGATACGCACCAATGGGGCACACACACGATTACTGGTAGTGCGGTTCAAATTTAAAGCGGAAATATATAGTTATATATATATATATATAACTTCCCTCTTCAATCAGAAATGGATTGTTTGACTTGAGTAGGGAAGGTTGGAGAAACTATGGTTCTTCCCTTCTCGTCGTGTTAATGGACCGGCGCCTTCTGCGAAGCAGAGGAGGCGAAAGAGAGAGAGGAAGAAAAAAAAGAAAGCGTGTGCACAGAGGAGTCGCTTGCCTTTTGAGTGAAGAAGCTAGTTCACACTAGAATAAGCCCTTGATGACGTTTTTTACCCCGATCGGTGCGATATTGGGAGCCGATTATAAAGGTCGTTTAGTTGTCAGGATAATAGACTTTAAAAAAGAAGTAAATGATCTATATGCTTTTTTTTAGAGCTACAGAAACAATGAATAACTCTAAAGAAAAAAAATCAGGATAGACGCACGGAGAAGAAAAAGTAAGGATCAGAAAAAGTGATTTGCTCACGTGGATGCAATTAAAGATAATGCGGCTACCTTCCCTTTTTTCCACTGCTTATAAATAGATAAATAAATAAATAAATATATATATATATATATATATATAATATTCACCTTCCACTTAGGCCTAGGAGGGGAATAGCAGCCTTCTCTGTTTATGAATCCACTTAATCTCATACGTATGCCTATATTTCTTACCAGACAAGAAAGAATTCGTATCATCCCAATCACTAAGAATAAGAACGAGGCATCGCTTCTCTACCAAAAAAGGAAAAATTGTGATACTATCCATAATAATACACTTTTAGCACTTTGCATTTATCTGAACATTCAAGTCGTATCTGCATTTTCTTGTCGTTTGTTATAGGCTTTTTCAACCAAACAATAAAAAAAAATTTGAATCATATACTTATTTTTTATTCATAAATTCTCTTTTTCCACCCATACACACACACGCACACACACACACACACACAAACTTCTTGGCTGTTAGTGCTCTAATTGCGTTTTTTTGATGATTTAACGCTATAACACACCTGTTATCATATATATATATATATATATAAAGAGATAGAGAGAGAGAGAGAAAGGGAGGGAAGAAGGGAGAGGGAGCGATTGATCGATCGATCCCGCCCGTCAATCAACCAGCAAGGTGACCTTTCGAGACCGGGCGCGGGACTTGGGGGTGATGTCGCCGGTGCTGCTCGCGCCCGCCTCCGCGATACCGCCGGCGTCGCCGTCCGCCGGCTTCCGAAATCCAATCCCCTTTCGAATATCCCCGCTACTCCCTTCCATGGCACCCTCCGCATGGGGGCGCGACGACGCGGCGCTCGCCTTTCGATCCGATAACGCGCTCGCCAACGAGCTGCTCCGGGGGACTGCGCTAGGGTCGTACGAGTAGAGCGGCTTCGCCTCCGCCACCCGCTCGCCACCCCGCTCGAGCGATCCCCCGAGGGTGAAGGGTTTTTTAAGCGTCGTCGCGGCCTCCGGGGGGTCCCCTCCGCTCCCGCCTCCCGGACGCCACACCTCGAGCAGCTCCG